AGGGTGGAAAAAATCAATGGCACATGAAGAGGAAGATAGCTAATTTTATTAAAAGAAAATATTCTTTTATTTTTCTTAATACGAATAGCTGCATTCACCGGGAATCGAACCAATTAGAAAGGCAAAAAATAAATTCTCACTATTTTATTGTATGTACATAGGATCAATAATAATGATAAAATCTCTCCCATAAACTACGGAGCCCACTAGCACTAAACTTAAGTACGTCTTCAAATCAACCAGTTTAACTTAAGGATTGGTATAATGGACGAAAATTGAAAAATTACATATTTAATTACCGATTAAACGTGATTTCGTTTGTTTTGTAATTAGATGTTTTGCTGTTTTTCCCACACCGCCGAATCGAACAGCCCCCCACTGTTAGAGATATTATCTTTATTACAATAAATACAGAATATTTTTGAAATATACGGTGACGTACACGCTGGTCAGTTGTTGGCGCTGTATTATTGCAGCTTTTTAATTTGAGGTTTTAGCGCAAAGGAAAGTTCATATTTAAAAGTGTTGCCAGGAATGGATGACCATTATTTCGTCTCTATTTCTAATTATATAATCTATGAGTTAAATATAACCAGGAAATTTAATATTAATAGCAACACTAATATGTAGTACACAAAGATATTTTTTTTTTCGATTTTCACTGTTGTTGCCATTTGTAAGTACTTACACTTACTACACATTGATAAAGTTTGACAAGGGTAATCTATGTCTTGGTAAGTCAGTAGTAAGATCCGAGTTTTTTTTGATGACGAACGACTCGCCTGTCCACAACAGTTGCAGTGCCACTCAGAGCTTCAAATTGCTAAGATCTCAGGGCCACTGGTACTATGCCCGTCATCCTGAAACATAAGTTGACAAGTTCCATGTGCTTGTAATTTCACCAGCACCCTCCCTTCAAAACCGGAACGCAGTAATGCTCACATTACTGCTTGGCGGCAAGGTACTTCCCTGAACGAACTTTTTTACTGGAGCTAGATAACTAGACACAAGACAAATGGCTTGTACAAGGTTGGCGCCAGGTACGTTGTTTTTTCAATTAATTTATTCATTCGATGTTACAGGTACATGATATAGATGAAATGAAATATGAAATGAAATGAGAATTCAATGTCAAACATAAATAAAAGTAATAAAAATAAATAATTGGTACAATGTCAAAAAAATAGAATAATATTAATAACTAATAATTGGTATCCATCTTTCAGCATTTGCCTACTTTAAGGAACTGTCATATGCTGTAGTAACACTTGTCAATTAATCTTAGTTGTTTTAATACATGTTTGAATCGCATTCCATTAGGTTTTTTGTTCCGCCTGGGATTTTATTGTCAATTTTAGGTGACATATCGACAACCCTATTTTTTAATAATGCCGTTTTACTAATATTTAGTAGCAGTAGAGCTCCAGAAAGAGTCCGTCCAGGGAAGTACCTTACCTATTTCCGCCGCCAAGCAGTAATGTCAGCATTACTGTGTTCCGGTTTTGAAGGGTAACTTGTCAACTTATGTCTCAGGGAGATGGGCGCAGTGGTAATGCCCCTCAGATCTTTGAAATTGAAAGCTCCGAGTGGCACTGCAACTGTTGTGGACAGGCGTGTAGCTTACCATCAGGCGCAGCACTTGTTCGTCCCGTCACTTGATGTTATAAAAAAATGTTTTGGATCAATAATTTTCGGGCACGGAAAAAAAATTTATTAATCTGTTTTGTGAGTTTCATTTTTTTTCAAATACGTCACATTATTAGAGAGTGAAACATTATGCCCGGAATGCTTATCACTGGATTAACGAGAATGACCTTCGGTTTAATGCTATAAAGGTTGACAGACATAGTATGGAAAAATCCATATCTAAGAAATGAGTTTAGGCTTCAGGCTCTGGTCCTTTACAGTAGTCTAATACGAGTTGGGACATCTGCCTATCGAACCTTATAATACATTGTAGTTATAAATTTATTTTAGCAGATTTCAAAATAAATATTAATGGGAAGCTGATTTACCTGATCTTTGTTAACATTTTATGAATTATTTTTTTATTATACCAAATAACGGGACAAACAAGTCGTGCGCCTGCTGTTAAGCGTCACGCTTGAAAGGGTTGTAACCCTAACTAGCCGTGAACAGGTTCACGGAATTAAAATGGGAAACTTCCGGTCCACAAAATTTATTAAAGAAGTAAAAAAAAGTTTAAAGAAAGGAGTAAGACTGTAACAATAAAAAGGTATGTATAGAAAAACAGGTACACTTACCACAAAAGGGCCGAGAAACTGAATTACAGAAATAGAAACAGAAATAGATACATGAAGGTAAAATGACTTATAAAATGTTAAACATGATTAGCTTATTAACGCTCCGACTCTTGTCGCGGTCGAGCTGGGAGTGACCGTGGTACGAAAACAAAATGAGAATGAGAAAGAGAAGGAAGATGGAACAATTCAAATTTAAAATTTAAATACAAGTAAAATAAAAAAAATGATAAGATACAAGAGGAGAGAGGCGATGCAAAGAGGTGAGATTACGATGAAAGGAGGTCACACCGTCACACGCTTGTCCATAGCAGTTACAGCACAACTCAGAGCTTTCAATTGCAAAGATCTGAGGGTAGAGATGAAATGGATATGCGGTAACTATCCGGTATCCGTCTTATTTTTACTAGATAGACGGCCAGATGGCCGGATACCGGTAGTAGAACAATATCCGGATACCGGATGTTTAAAACTGATAAAAATTCGTAATCAGTACGCCAAAGAAATTCAATTATTGTTTAAAGATGATAGTAGTAGGATAAACAGCAACTACAAGAGCATTGACAATCTGTTTATGACTTGTAACTGAAAGTACTATAAAGTTTGATAACGGTAACGTTATTGTTTAATTTAGTACTCAAATTTCAATAAAAGCCGTAGCTGTTTTAATGCATTTATGTAGTGTTTTTGCAGTTTTAAAAGTCGTTTCTATTTATTTTCATAAACGAGACCAGTTTCAGAGGACAGTTTTTCACTATAAACTTTGTTAAATTTTCAGTACTACTTGGTTTATGTCAGACGACCAAATGAAAGGATTGCGATCACGATCGATTTGAATTGTCTTCAAATTCAATGTGTAAACCAACAATAATGAAAAGTGTATGCATATTTTTTTTTGCGAATTATCAAGGCTTAGAATTTAAATAATAACGGGCTTATGAAGAGCGTCAAGTATATAACTAGAAGTTTTAATATAGTCAGAGAATGATGATGTAATTGCTTTTTTCCTTCTCAACCGCGAGAAATTTGCATTCGGCACCACAAACAAACGGCACAGATTTTTAAAATATTGCCCAATTTTTTTTCACTGTTAACATTTTTTTGTTATGTATTTGTTTGTATTATAGAATAAATTAATCGTTTTTATAAAACCAAGTGACCACAACAAATCACTCGTACGGCAGTGGGTCACATATCCGGCGGCCGGATATCCGGTATCAGGGTTCCGGCCAAATCACTATCCGTTTCATATCTGTCTGAGGGACACTACTTGCGCCTGCATCAGGATACAGGACTTAAGTTAACAAGTCTCATGTGCCTGTAATTTCACCCTTGTAATTGCGCCCTTACCCTTCTAAACCGGAACACAGTAATGGTCATGTTACTGCTTGGCGGTAGACATAAGTAAGGTGACAGAATTTCTCTGGGCGAACTCTTTCTCAAGGAGCTGTACTGCTGCTATATTCCTTTTGTGATAAATTTTTATTTTTAAATTTGAAAAATGATAATGATGAAGTCTATTTTTGTATCTCGTCCGAAACGTTGAATGACTGCATTTTGGTATACTGTGACAACATTTTGAAGCTCCTGTTGAGATCACGTCTACGTTTGATCACTAGATTTTAGTTGACGTTTGGTCTTTACTTAGTACACTAGGCTTTGCTTGGTTTTTAAATTATTCTGTTTAAAAGTTTCGGATTTTTTATTAAAATAAAAATAAAGTGAATAAAAATTGTGATTTCAAAGTTGAGACTTTATACATGTTTCACTGCTGGACACAGACATTATTGAAGAGAGTTGAAAATAAATAAATAAAAAATATAAAAATTGTTTAAGAAACCTGTGAGAGGTTATCGTGGCAGAGACAAAGTTAAAACAGGTTAATATTAAAGTGAATACTGCAGCACATTCTAAAGATTCGTTATCTTGAAGAGACAGAAAACACGATTTAAGTGAATATTTGCGCTTTTTCACATATATGATGACGTGGTTTCGAATAGTTATACAATAAGAAAGAAAATATTCAACTTTTATTTCACGGAACATTCATGAAATAAATTAAAAGAAACAGTGTTACCAAACTTAAGAAAGTTTGTTTCTTAAACTTAGCATTAAATCCTAAATCTGGACAGAAATAATAAAGTTTCCACATTCAACACAAAAGGGAATATTTATAAAGTATTAAAGTGAAAAGTGTGTGTAAAGTGAATCCCGCGAAGAAAGATACTTTAATATCAAAGATCGCGCAAATCCAGGCATTATCCCGCCTCAGTCAACAGAAACTCTAAAGTAGAAACTCTAATAAAATATTAACAATTATTATATTTCAAATACTTTAATAACAGCGCACAGAATAGTTATATGGTTAATTAAAACATTATTTAATAACTCGTTTTAACAGTGACTAATTTCGTTGAATTTTTAATTTACAGTTAAATCTCATGATTTATTGTTACAAATAACCGGACAAAATATAGTTGTAATAATGGCATAATGTATATGAAATGAACCTATGAATAATAACCATAAATTATATTCACTATTATATTTATAACGAAATTGTTTTATCTTCCTTGTTAAGTATTTCTATTTAATTCAGTTAATTAGCCTTATTATATACAGTACATAAATGGTGACTCAAATTCAATGTATTGTATAAAAAGGAAGTAGTTTCATTAATTTTATTTAGTTCCGTTTCGACATTACTATTACTAGTGTTATAGTGTGCAAGGTATAACCATGTATGTGCAAGTATTTACTATTTTCTTGTCTTTGATGCTGTCAGTGACAGCTCAAAGATGTTCAAAGGAAAATGCTTTGGAAGTTGTGCATAGACCAGTCTATGAATTCTCAGTGAGGTTATTGGACAAAATATCATTCGAGGCTAAGGGTCATTTTGTGTATTCTCCTCTTTACACTTGGTTGCAATTGTCTGCTTTAGCAGAAGGTGCAAGAAATAGCACTTTAAAACAAATATTGTCAACAGCTAGGTTAACTAGACACAGAAGAATCCCTTGTTACAGAAAGAAATTTCGTGAAATTGTCAACGACGTTAATAACAATTTAGACATTGATTCTGAACGATCCAGTGTTATAATTGTCGACGAGTTCTATAAAGTCAAGAAAGGCTTCAAAAGGTCTGTTGAAATGTTGGAAAATACCAAAGTATTATCATTAAATTTTGATAAAATGGAAGAATCAGCCGCGGAAGCTAATGAAGTTATCAAATTTAACACAAACGGAGTTATGAACGATGTCGTGTATCCAAATGACTTTGTTAACAGAGTTCTTATAATGTCAGATGCTGCTTATTTAAAGAGCGCATGGAAACATCCCTTTAACATTGCTTTGACTGAAATTAAACCATTTTACACTGAAAATAACGTTATAAATGGTTATGTCAATATGATGCATCAATATGGAGCATTTAATGTAACACAGATACCAATTATAAATGCTAAAGTTTTGGAACTACCTTGTAAAGGCGATATATCTTTACTTATATTTTTGCCTCTGAGAGAGTCCATTTTGGACTTGTTCTATTTACTAAAACATGTAAGTTTGAAAGGCATTTTCAATAGTTTTAAACTAAAACCCGCAAATATAAGCGTGCCGAGATTTGAAATTGACACAGAAGTATCGAATATCCGAGAGCTACTTATTGATTTGGGAGTGGAAAGAGCGTTCTATCCCGAGAAAGCACAGTTAAATGGCATAAGTGATTTTAAAATCCATGTATCTTTGATGACGCAATTAGCCAAGATAGAAGTTACAGAACATTATGTACAGGCAAGTATAGAAACGGAGTTTCTGTTCGATCCTGCTAAGGTAGTGGATTTCCAAGTTAACAGACCATTTGCGTATATGCTCGTAGATAGAAAGAGTTACATAATTTTGTTTGCCGGTATGTATTCTCGACCATCAAAACAATAATCAGCGATTCCTTTATGATCTATAAGATTTTGAGAATCATCAGTTTAAAAAAAATTAAGTTATGTAATTATTAAACATTATCTATTCGACTCCGTGGTTATTATTTGTTAAAATCTGATATACGGAACCCTAATAGTGATGTTTATTTATAAATAAGTACAGTCATGTACAGTTATAACATTACAAACATACGAACGTTCATAACGTCAGCAGAGACATTAATTATTTAATATTGCGACTTGGCAGTAGTCCAAATTCAGCAACTAATAAATGTAATTACATACATACAATAACGTCACTGTAAATAGCAAACTGTTGAACTGAAAAGATTTTAGATCTAAAACGATTTCATAGTTGGGTGGACTCCTGAAAACCTCAAGCCAGATTTTCCGCTACATTGAGCCTGTACTGAATACTGCATTGTATTCATTTCAATCGGGTTTAATGTGCCGTATCAATTTGTGTGGCTTCCATACCTATAGATTATTATACTTCTATTAATTTCGATATAGTAATACATGATAATTTGTAAATTATATTACTATTATCATAATAAACAACAACTTTTGTTCCATGACTTTTTACAAGACATCATATATTAACCAAAAACATACTTTTTCACGCCACTAACTTGGAAAGGCTTTCTTTCTCATTAGAAATCTGGGCACAAAAGCTTTTCTTGCACGCTAGCGTGGAGAAGGTTTTTGAAATTCGAACTTGACGGTGGACGTGGTGCACCTAACTCTTTCTTTCGATGAAAAAAAAAAGATAATTACACGTGCAACTACGCGATTTGTCGTACATTACTTACTTGCGTAGTTTAGGTCCGTTGGTATATTTTGTTCTTATTATTGTTGACATTAAATTGACAATGATAACTAATTGTGTTTATTAAATTGCTTTAATTCATCGAAGAGCTGAAATAATTTCAATAATCACACAAAACAAAAGTACAAGCAAGAATAAACATTGATAAGGTGTAAATTCAGAACGTATCCGTAGATAAACTTTTTCTTCCAATTAAAGAAAACTGATGTTTTATAGTTCAAATTGTTTTTCATTTACCATTTTCCTCGGTATAGTGATGTGAAAAATCTCGTCTCGAGCCTTGAAGCCCTCGCTATACTCAAGAATCCATTTTTGAATCCATCTTAGCTTCCTTCGCTTGTTCTGGTTTCAATACAAGCAGTTCCGTCACACAACAACTTCGCAGCCTTGCATAACAAAATAACTATTAAGTTTCTGTTGTAGTGCTTAATATCTTTTAGATCTGTAATTGGGTAGATAAGGTAGTGAGTTGAAACGTGCAAGCTTCCTCCCCGACGATCGCGCCCCCGCTCCCGTATTTGCATCGGACTGATATTTAGGCTGCTACTAAACGAACTGCATACGTCCGTATAATATCACTCTGTGCAGACGAAACCGAAAGCACGCAGTCGACATTAGCTGCAGGCCGCTCAGGAGCTAAGTTTGAGTAAGAATGTCAATTACTACTTCTGATTACCGGACTATCGTTCACATCGACCCTTGAAGTTGAAGTTTCAACTGCACGCAGTTTAGTTTCGACTGCATGCAGTTAATGCGTGAAATCGTCATCAACTTCATACAGTCGAGGTCTCAGCTGCATGAAGTTGATTACGACTTCACTCATTAACTGCAAAAATGCAGTCAATCTGTAAGTTAGTTAGTCCGTTAGTGAGCAAACGTTCCCGGTTCATATCAGTTCCGATTCCAAGAAATAACAGTCCGAAATGTCACGGGGATCATTTTATTTCTAGGTGTACAAGCGACATCCGAAGTGGGACCGAGTTTTTTGGATTTGTATAGTCTCGGATTCGATACGAATACGAACCGCGCTAAACGTTCAAGTGTTTTCTTTTATTACTGCACAGAGTTATCGCCGTTTAGAGGGATCTATTTACATATTTTTATTTTCGTACGAAAGTAAAATCTGAATTATTAAAATTTATGGAACAAAAGTTGTCGTATAAGAGATTAGTAATATAATCTTGCAAGGTTGTTAGTTTTTACAAATAACCCTGTATAGTTCATTGTTAAGAACAATAAGTAATTTGTTGATTAAATGTAGTGACAGGCATACATTATCATTATTAACACAAGGAATATATATATATAAAATGGCAGTACTTGACACTCGTCTTCACAAAGACACAAAGGGCAATGTTTACGCCTCAATAATAAGATTCCGGATTGTATTCAAAATTTGCCATTGACGAGGTTTAAAACTATAGTGAGTCAAAACCTTCGTACCAAAGTTTACTTACTATAAAGATTCTGCGTAATTGAATGACAAAAATCTATTACAGTGACCGGTTTAGCTCTTACAAGGTTGTCTCGATTTATGATTGAAATAAATATAGTAAATGACAAATGTGTATAAATCTCTATTTTTTATATAATTCTAAGTGATGGGACGAACAAATCGAGCGCCTGATGGTAAGCGACTCGCCTGTCCATAACAGTTGCAGTGCCACTCAGAGCTTTGAATCGCAAAGATCTGAGGGGCACTCCCACTGCGCCCGTCACACTGAGACATAAGTTGACAAGTCCCTTGTGCCTAATTTCACCAGCACCTTTACCCTTCCAAACCGGAATGCAGTACTGCCAACGTTATTGTTTGGCGGCAGATATAAATATGGTGGCAGAATTTCCCTCGACGAACTCATTCACAAGGAGCTCTTTTAGGTTAACTAGGTTTATTGGATTTCAACAAACCTTGGTAAATAAACGTAATTCCACAAAATTGTAAGGTTGACGATGCTTTAATTCAAATTAATGTAAAAAATTACCATTGGTATCTAGTCTTCATCATTATGATACTATGTTATTGCTAATGAACTAATCCTTATAAATTAGCTCTTCGATCGGCATCGTAAAATGTTTTTTTTCACATGTGATCGGTTTTATTTCCATACAAGGCAATCAACTTTTAAACGTCTTTGAATGCAGTCGTATTTACTTTTAGAAACAAAATAATGTCTGTATGAAACAAAATATCGTATCTAAAATATTTTACGTTACTTTCCTTCCGAGTCCCATAGCCGTGGGACTCCCTGTAGGTACGTACATAAATGTAGACAGAAATATAAAAATAATATCCGTACAGAGTACTAAAAAAACCAACCACTTAAAGTTTGTGGAATGACATCTGACATCTCATCATCTTAGAGGTGGAATATTTTCTTCCAATTTAAATGGGGCCACTACTGAGGTACCCTATCCTATGAGTCCTCCTAATTTCTTTTAAGTCGGTTAAAAATTTCAACGTAAACTACAAAAGACTGTACAAAAGTTTCATAATAATTCTCTTTTAGTTTTAGCTCCAATCTGGTAACACACATATTGAAAGTAACATTTTTTTTTTTTGTTTTTTTTATACTTGACAGGCAAATGACTCTATTAAAAATATTTTAACAACACTCTCTTATACTTAGCAGCATCAGAGCTCCTTGTGAAAGGGTTCGTCCAGGGAAGTACTGCCACCTTACCTATTTCTGCCACCAAGCAGTAATGTTAACATTACTGCATTCCGGTTTTGGAGGGTAAGGGTGCTGGTGAAATTATGGCACATGAGACTTGTCAACTCAAGTCTCAGGGTGTCGGGCGCAGTGACAGTGCCACTCAGATTTTTGTGATTTAAAGCTTTGAGTGGCACTCCAACTGTAATGGACAGGTTATCATCAGGCGTACGACTTGTTTGTCCCATCACTTGATATTATAAAAAAAATACAGGACAACAATAGGCAAACAAACTAAATGAAAAAACAAAGAAAAGTAACATCTGTTTTGCGTAATCAATTATTTCGGAAACACTTATTTCCATAATCATTTCCTGATAATGTCACATGTACATGGATACGGCATTTTAATGTGACACTAGGTACGTGTGTAAAGTTATTATCAAGTTTGCCTTGTCTTTGATATTGTATTTATAAATTATGTTTCTTCGTAGTGGAACAATAAAGTACGTAAGAGCTCGTGCGGCCTGTTTGAGTTTTAGCATGCTACGTCACTCGCGAAGGCCATTCTTTAGCAGGTTCGTAATCCAACTCTTCGTTCCAATTCCACCCTTTAGGTAGGAACAGTAGACTTTGCCTTATTTAGTGCCTGGGCCCCAAGTGTGCTAATTTTCATTTCATTCATTCATTCATTCATTGTCAATAGAACGGCAATGATGGCATTAATTCTGAAAAGGTTGTAAACCCTAATGTGTCGTGACCAGGATCACGGCAATAAA